CCTCCGCCCGCCCCCAGCAGACCCGCCCCGGCCCAGCCCGGTCCCCAATGTCGCGGTCCCTTCGGCGCAGGACAAAGTGGGGCGCGGGGAGGGACGCGGGACAGAGCCGTGGGTAGAGGAGGAGCGCAGCACCCCTTACACGCGACGGTTCCTGGCCCGCAGCTCTCAGCGCGTCTCCGGCGCTGTCCCGGCTCGGCGCCCTGCCGCAGAGAGTCGGTGCTTTTTTTGCCGAAGAGAGTCGGTGCCTCGAACAGGAGCTGCTGTCGGCCCGCAGCGTCCCCTCACAGAACCCTCCCCGTGTCCCGCACCCCCAGCTCGCCCTGGCCTCACTCCCACCTCCTGCCCGCGGGGACCAAGACATGGAGGGCTGTGCTTCCATCCAGAGGGACCTCTACAGGCTGGAGAAATGGGCTGGCAGGAATCTCCCGCAGCTCAAGCAGGGGGAGCAAGGTCCTGCACCTGGGGAGGAGCAACCCCACAAAGCAATATACACTGGAGGCCATCCAACTGGAAAGGCCCTAAGGCTCCTGGTGGACACCAAATTTAACATGAGTCAACACTGTAACCTTGCAGGTCTATTTGGTTTACATGGCAATGTTTTGGGAGCAGGGTAGGCTGCACAGGTGGCCTCTGTGAGAGGAAACTAGGGCTCCATCCATGTCAAAGACAGCTGACTCAGATTCTAAAAGGACCCACTGCTGGCCAAAGCTGAGCCACTCAGCTAAGCTGGTGCTGCCTCTGTAAGAACATATTTACAGAAAAGTAAAAGCTACTGCATGGTATCCATGTGAAAGAAAAATATGTAAAACTGTGAGATAAAAAAATCCCTGCAGACACCAAGATCAGTGAAGAAGGAGGGGCAGAGGTGTTCCAGGGACCAGAGTAGAGATTCCCCTATAGCCTGTGGAGGGCTATGTCAGAACAGATACCCACACTGTAGCCCATTGATAACCCCACATAGCAGCAGTTAGGTGTGCTCCAAAGGAAGATGATGCACATAAAGATCACAGTAGGAGCAGATTTTCAGGCAGGAACTGTGGTCCGTGGGAGGCGCACACTGAAGCAGGCTGTTCCTGAAGGAGTGTATCCCATGGAGGAGATGTCCTATGTTCCTGAAGGACTGTACACTGGGGAAGGGACCGCACATCAGAGCAGGGAAAAAGTGTGAGAAGGAAGGAGTGGCAGAGATGGAGTGCTACAATCTATCTCCATCTCCCTGAACTGTTCTGGGTGTGGAGAAGGTAGAAGGCTTGGCAACGTAAGAGTGAAGTGGAGCCTGAGAAGAAAAGTTGACCAGGAAAAAGTGTCCTTAATCTTGTGTATTTGGTTTATGTGGTGGTGTTTTGGCAGCAGAGGTATGGCTCCTGTGAGAAGCTGCTAGAAGCTTCCCTGGCTTCCAGTCAGACTCACCTCTGGCCAAGGCTGAGCCAATCAGTGCCTCTGAGAATAAAATATTTAAGAGTGGTGCAGCAAATGGAGTGGCCCCCAGACAGCATGGCCCTGGGCCCAGTCTGGTCCAGCCAGCCCAGCCCAAGCCCAAGCTTTGCTGCAGCCCCAGCCTAGGAGCCGCAACATCTTCAGGAACCAGCAGAAGAGACCTGCAGTGGACAGAGGAGGGGGATGTGAGAGAAACAACTACACAAGCACCAAGATCAGTGAAGAAAGGAGGGCAAGGAGGTGTGCTGGAGCAGAGATTGCCCCTCAGCTCCTGGTGAGATGGCAGGCTGACTTGTTTGCAGCCTGTGGAGATTCAGTGGTGGAGCAGATATGCACCAGCAGCTATGGAAGACCCCATGCTGAAGGTGGTAGCTGCACCTGAAGAAGGCCGTGACTCCATGGGAAGTCTGTGCTGAAGGAAGGACTGCACCACATAAAAGGGACCCACACTGGTGCAGGAGAAAAGTGTGAGGACTCCTCCTTACCCTAAGAGGAAGAAGTGGAAGAAACAGGATGTAATGAACTGACCAAAATCCCCATTCCCCAATACCCTGAGCCACTGAAGGGGGAAGAGGTAGAGAAATCAGGAGCAAGACTAAGCTTGAGAAGAAGGGAGAGGCTGAGGAAGGTGTTGATTTTAAGATCTGGCTGTATCTCTCATCATTATTCTACTCTGATTTTACTGGTAACAAATTGAATTGTTTTATTTTCCCCAAGCTGAGTCTGGCTTTGCCTGTGACTGTCATTCGTGAGTGATCCCTCCCTGTCCTTGTTTTACCCCATTAGCCTTTTGTTATATTTCCTCCTCATCATCCAACATGCAAGGGAAGAGTGAGCGAGCAGCTGCATGGTGCTCAGCTGCCCGCTGGGCTTTTCAGCACAACATCTTGTCATTATTTCTCATTATCTTACTCTAATTTTGATAGGCAATACATTAATTTTCCCAAAGTCTTTTTTTGCCTTTGATTGGTAAGCAATATACCCATCTTTATTTTGATTCATGAGCTTTTTTCATATTCTTTCCCCTCCTGTCCTATTGAGGGAGTGAGAGAGCAGCTTGGTGGGCATCTGGCAGACACCTAAAGTTAATCCATCAGAACGGCAAAGGCAGCTGATGGTATTCTGGGCAGCACGAGGAGGAGTGTTGCCAACAGGTTGAGTGTGGTGATCCTTCCTACCTATTCAGCACCAGTGAGGCCACAGCTGTCCAGTATTGGACAAGTCCAGTTCTTGTCTTCCTTGTAATGAAAAGACATGGACATACCAAGAAGGACCAAAGAGGGATCATTAAGATGATCAGGAGACTGCTGATGGCTGATGAACAGCTGAACAAGCTGGGACTACCTACAATGGAGAAGAGATAGCTTGGCACGGGGGTAATCTCATCAATATACAGATCTGGAGAACCCGTGGAGACAACACACAGTGTGGAAAAGATACCCCTTGTGCCACACTCCCTCACTCAGCTCTGCATACCAGTGAGATAGGCTAACAATCACTGTAAACATGCAGGAGGGAACAGCAGGAGGGAGGGGAAAGCTGATGTTGTTCAGGCATGCCCCAAGTGTCTCTCACTGTGGTCTCTGCAGAGTGCAGTAATAGAGTGCACTGTCCTCCAGTTTTAGCCCTGTGATGGTCATCATCCCGGAGCTCTTGTCAGCCTGGCAGGAAAACCTCTTGCGGGCAAAAGGGGCTTTGTGGCTGTAGGAGCCTCCCCGGCCCTTGCTCTGCAGCAAGTACTGCAGGGGTCCGCCAGGACGCTGTCGATACCAGGCCATGTAAATGTAGGAGGCATTGGAGCTGTAAGTGCATCGCAAGGTTCCAGTATTCCCTGCTGCCCACCACAATGCAGACATCGTTGCTTGAATCACATCATCCTGAAATGTACCTGAAACAAAAGTAAGGCTGTTCCATCACCACTTTACACTCATTGGCACAAAACAATGGCTCATAAAAGGGTCAATGGAGGCAGGCAATTATGTTGCCAGGCAACAGTGTTGCCAAAACCCAAGTACTCAGAGTATGCCAGAGAAGAAGAGATCCAAGGGAAGGCAGAGAGAGGTCGCAGGCAGGGAGAGTGTCCAGTCTGGCTGAGTGACAGAACTCACTGAATCACCTCCACAGAATAAAACACTGTACTGGGGACTCAGGAAATGGAAATTGGTAGTGCCTGGAAAGGAGATCTTGCACAAAGGGCAAGACCATCTGTGGTACACAGAAATGTCCCCTCTCCCTGGGAAGAGGACTGAGACACCTCAGCACTCGCCTGCTCCAAACCTTGGGCAAACGGGGCCAGGCCCCAGCAAGTTTGTGTTAAAGCTGAGTTGGATTTCCTGCCTCTGTGCGAATGGCGCAGAAGTAGCAAGCAGAGTCCTGGGGGTGCAGGGCAATCAGGGACAGAAATGACTCAGACCGGGAATTGTCCCGGAACACCGTGGCTCGACCCTCCATTGACCTCTCCAATCGAGTGACTGAGGAATCAGATCTGATGTAGGACAGCCACTCGAGTCTGCCAC